TATATAAGTTATTATTTCTTTACTGAATAGATTGGTTTTACCTAATGCATTCTTTTCACATAGTGACTAAAAGTTTAATATGGAAACATATGTTCTATCTTATCATTAATTTGTCAGTTGAATATACAAATATCTTGATGTTTATTAACCCAATCAATAACTTGGATTATTCCGTAATTGTTTGATGATCATTAAGAAATGGCATTTCTGTTTGTTAACATTTACCATCAATATAAATCAATAAAGACTGGTCAAAAGGTAGATCTTCATATCAGTGACGAGAAAGTATACCAGTCCTAATCAATAAATTGATTAGAAGTAGGTTGCATTTTGACTACCATTAACAACATTGAGATACATCCTGTTAATGAGTGACAAACAGAATGAAAATAGGATCTGACCCTCAAATGCCCTAGTACGGTCGAGAGTGGAGAGAGAGAGTCCTCTGTCCCTCTCGAAATGCTCTCACATGACCACGCGTATATAGCCTCTATCAAGGAAGTCCTACTCACTGCCTACTTGTGGCGAAGGTATTTTTTACCAAATTGAGAGGACGAAAACCGAATGTCCGGCGGTTTAACCGGGTTCGTGGACACGAAAAGTCCACCTAGGAAAGTTGAAAAACCCTCATTGCAAACCAGTGTTATACATGGGTTCCAGGATCCCGAGCAAATAAATGGTGTACCAAGCGATTGTTGGTCACTGGCTACCATAGAACTGCATCTTCTTCCGATGCTCCACTGCCTTATGGATAACCCCTTTAGGTCAAAGGCTCCGAATGTGATCCCCTAAGAAAACCACTTGCTTTTGTTTCGGCATCCAGATAATATTCCAGCCCTCAAACAAATCAAATAACGAAATATGGCTTATATGTATTTCTTATCTCCTTGTACTAATGTTTATATATTTCATTGAAAAAAAATTTCTCTGTGGAACATTGACTACAATTCAGTTTATTGAACCAATTCGATCTTTTTTTTTATATTAAAAAAATACACAACAGAACTAGATAACTATGCCATTAGTTACCATCGGAACACTTGAAATCTATAACATTATAAGATTGTTTAAAGAGTGAAATTTTTTTATTTTTTTTTAAAAAAGAAAAACATTGACCATCAATCAAGGTCACCCCTATTCGTTTAAACAAAACTAATCGATTATTCCCTATCGATAAAATAGGTAACAAAAGAATTTTATTATTGATTATGAATAAATCAATATACTGAAACTAGTACAAATATATAGATAGATATATGGGAAAGTTTTTAAGATGATTTCCAATACCTGATTATGTCATCCCAAAATATCAATTATTGATTTATTGATTGAATATGTAATTGTAATATTAGAATGTAATTTTGATTAGACTTCATACTAAATCCTGACTAATTATTATATTTATGCTTACTATCCAGTTCTACTCTATACTAATAATTTAAAAGTGAATCCATTGAGTTTAACCTAAAGTAAGAATGAGAGTATTTGAAGTCTATCGATTCATAAATAAAAATCAATTATAAACAAAGATGGATAGTAGCTAGCAGTAGTGTTATATCCCCTGGTGACCAATTATTGTACAAATGTTATTTTCCATTTTTTTTGGTACGATGTGGTCTGTTTGGTTTGTATATAAACCCAGTATGTTTGTGAATAATAATTCATATTGCCGAGGCTGTTATTTGTGTTCTGGACTTAACTGGCTGGGCTAGGCAGAAAGGAGGAGTGACAAGTAATCAAGACTGTTCGTACGATTTTATGTATAATAGCTCCAATCGATAATTCGCTCTTCTCTCATTGGCGGTAATCAGCACGTTCATATACTAAAGAGGGCACGCAGGCAATCGATATAACAACTGGCACACACACACGTTATAACAAGTAGAATCCAGAAAGCGCGTTCTGTCCTATTTCGGACTCGTCAGCTGGATGTACCTACATCTCAAAGTTGATGTTCACTCTGGGACTCGAACCTAGTAATGCTTGTGAATTAAGGTTATATCGAGGCAATATGCACAGTATGCACATAGACCAATAAGAAACTGATCAATTGAAGTCCTAACCATCAATGGGAATATTTAAACAAACAATACTAAGTGAACTTTAAAGTCAGTTGTCTTAATTAATGATCGAATGATACGTATTAGTAAAACTTATGGTCATATGAAAAGATTGATCCAAAAAAACTCCCAAACGATTAAAGTCAAATTGGAGACAAGTCTACTTTTGGAAAGAACTAAAACTATTCACTGGGGCCTCGCTATGGTTTGCTTTATATCCCAAATCATGCATAAACCAGATATCCCTCTAAGATCTATAGTAGAATTTATGAACACAGTAACATACGCTTTATTGAAATATCTAAGCAGAATATCAAAGCCACTACAACTTAACTTACATAATATGATTAAAGATCCCTATGACTTTAAATGGAAGTTATCGGAATTACAAATCGAGACAAATGAGTCATGGTAACCTTTGATGGCGTCTCTTTATACACTAGTATTCCTATTGATAAATACTTAGAATTCATTAATGGTTTACTAATGAACGACAATACTCTTTCTAACAGATGTCCTTTAAGCAACAGTCTAATCACGATATCTTTAAAAGGTTACTTAAATTCGACACTATTTACTTTTAACAAGATATTATACAAACAAACTAACGGTGTAGTAATGGGATCCCGTATGTTCCCGATTGTAGCTAATCTGTTTATGGCACACATAGAATTAAATATTTTCATCAATGACATTAAACCACGAATTTGGCTTAGATATGTAAAGGATACATTTGTAGTAATAAAAAAAAGACTCATCTAAGATCTTTTTCAAAACGAATCAATAAACACTTTCATTGCTCATCAAATTCATGAGTAAGAATGAAAATGAACATGATGAGCTACCATTCATTCTTAGATTGTTTAGTATAAAGAAATCTAAATGGAATTCTAAATTTATCCATCTATCGAAAGCTCATACACACTCTAATCGCTATATTAACTTCTATTCAATACATCCTTTCAGTGCTAAAATCTTGCTAGCCTTAAATCTTTTCAGAACAGCTAACAAGATTATCACCTCAGAAGAGGGCAAACAAAAAGAATAGAAGAATATAAATACCATCTTACAATTTAATAATTTCTCTATGAAGATTATTCGAAGTATATTAAAACAAGACATTTCACTATGTGACTATAATAATTCGAATGAAATGTCATGGATTGGTACTGCAGTTTTACCATACCATCATGGCACAACTGAAGAATTCCAAAGGATCTTTCAAACAACACAGAATTAAAGTATATTACATAACAACGAACACACTTCAAAGTACTTTAGTTCGATTAAAAGAAAAAACAACCCCCTTCATGTCAACACAGAATTGCGTCTACAAATTAGGCTGTGTTGAATATGATGCCTTCTATATTGGAGAGTCATCTCGTGAAATATTGACTTGTGCCGAAGAACATATTAAGTACGCAAAGAAACATCTTAATCATCCTGTAGAACTGAATCGACTTCAAATTACATTGGCAATAGCAGTTTACGCCATTTTCAACAATCACCAAATCGATTTCAAAAAACATCAAAATATTACAAAAAGGTTTTTCTAATTACAAAGAAAGAAGAGTAGCTGAAGTATTCTATATCATGTTTAATCTTACTACTCTCAATAGAAAACAAGGCCTTACCATATATCCTACTTGGGATTATCTATCCTAACCATCTAGTCTGATATTATGCGCAATTCATATTATTTGCCTACAAATTAAACTCTATCCTTTAAAATCATGAAAGTTACACGTTTTTCATCTTTAACGGTGCACACATACACACAAATGTACATACATGTCGCTTATGGATCACCTTGACTGAAATGTCATGACATTGACTTGTTCAGATCTGTTTCTTGATTGATCACACATAATATTATTGTGTTGTTTGGTTGTATTATTTAAACTTGAATTAATTTTGTTTCGGTTATTTATTCTTTGAAGAAGTAACTTAAACTGAGTGACGAAATATTAGAGAATCTAATTTTTCTACTCATTGAGACATTTGCAAATATATTACCTTCTTTATAATGTATTAGTTAGGTTGTTTTTCACCTTATTACACTTAGATATTTACATGTAAGTTGAAATTTCTAATTATCCAACTACTTCACATACACAATTGGATTAATCTCAAACATTCGTTATCTTCTGATGGTTTGATCAAGAAGCTTTCATTATCCTTCTGGGCTATATTATCAGTACAAGCTTTCAATAGAAATGAGCTATTCAAATTTCTAAACAGTTATTTTTTCTAATAGTTGAGATCATGAGTCAGTTGAAGCTAGAACACCATCTGAAACCTGCAAGTACTGGATGGTCGTTTCGTCCTACTGTGGGACTCCTCAGTAGTGCGCATCCACGATTCCACCTCACGAGATTCCAACCCAGAACCTATCAGTCTCGCATGCGAACACTCAACCTCTAGACCACTTAACCGATCGGTATTCAACGGTGTTAATGTTTAACTTCAAACAATCCACGGAATTGAGTGACACATCCACCATTGTCTTCAGTGAGTTACTAACTTACAGCAGGCCTGGTTGCACTCCACTAATCACTGCTCCTCACTAGAACTCCATGAAATACCTCTTGAAGCCAGTCACTAGTGAGCATTTGCTGAATAATATCAGAAGGGTTTTGTGGAGATTTCAGTAATTTTAAAAGTTGAAATCATGAGTCAATTGAAGCTGGACTATCATGAAAAACCTTGTAGCACTGAACCGCCGTTTCGTCCTATTATGGGACTCTTCATCAGTGTGTATCCACGATTCCACCTCACAAGATTCAAACCCACGACCTAATAGGTCTCGAACGCGAGTGCTTAACCTCTAGAACTATTTAGTTGGTCGGCATCCAATGGTGTTAATGTCTAACTTTAACCAATCCACGAAATAAAATATGTAAAATTAAATAAACAAAATCATTTTTTTAATAGACTTACAATATAATGCTTCATTTCTATGTCGAAACCATACAGTCACATCCATTCTATATCCATCTGGATCAAATACTTCACCGCCAACTTTCATTACAGAAGTTTCATATGATCTTGCACTTGGACTAACTGAACCACCACGTAAATTTAATGATTTCCCTGGTGCCATTTCACAATTATTATCTGTTCTTTTTGTTAAATATCAATAATGAATCCACAAATAGTAATGAGAAAGTAAACTAATTATTATTACTATTATTAGAATGTTTTAAACACTAAGGTAACTAGGGTAAGTTAAAAACTTTTTTGGGTATTATTGATATTAATGAATAAATAGTTAGTTATAATCATGGATAACATAGTTTCCCATTTTTCAAGGTCAGTCATTGGTCATTGGTCATTGGTTATTGGTTTAATGGTGAATAAAATTTCGACCAAAAAAAAATTGCGTAGGCGTTATTTGGCCATAGATACGAATAATTATAACCTTTTTCTTTTACCAATCTTATACAATCCGATACATAACATAACCGACTATTACTACTACTACCACTACTACTACCACTACTACTACTACTACCACTACTACTACTATTATTATTATTATTATTATTATTTATTAAGTTTTCAATGATGATTTGTTTTTTTTGTAGGGAATAAACAATCTAAGATAGTAGGTTAAGAAGAGAGATTCGAATGAATTGGATATTGGGGGTTGTTTTTGTTTTTCTTTTTCTTTTTCATGTTTGTACAATTTTTTTCTTCTGTTTTTCACCTTAAATCATCAACATTTTGTACCGGAACTTATATTTGTGTGTATACCGTCATAAAAAATTTACAGGTGAATAAATGAAGATATATCTATCTATATGTAATTATCTGTAATTTGGAGGAACAACATGTACACACACTCACATATCCACATCCACTCACTCACACACACATTCACATTCACACACACTCACACATCCACATTCACTCACACACACATTCACATTCACACACACTCTCACACATATTCACACACATATATATACACATAACCATTTTGGTCAATCCATTTATGTTTAACGATGTTACAAATAGATAAAAGAAAAATAAGCCAATAATATTGTAAGTGAAATTTATGTAATTTTTCCCATTTTCAAATGTTTCATAATTGATTATTTTATTATTATTATTATTATTATTATTATTATTATTATTATTATTATTATTATTATTATTACTATACAAAGTAAATTATGTAAAACCTGACGTCATGTTATTAAATACATATGTGGGTAAATCACCTTGACAACTGTTTTTAAAGTTCAAATATACCTATAACTAGTATAAAAGGGGGTTTTCTGAAGATTTTAGTAATTTTATATAGTTGAAATCATGAGTCAATTGAAGCTAGATCAGTATGGAAAACCAGATAGGTCTGATAGGTCCGGAGTTCGGATCTCGTGAAGTGGGATCGTGGATGCGCACTGTTGAGGAGTCCCATAATAGAACGAAACGGTCAATCTAGTACTTCCAGATTTTTCATGATGGTCTAGCTTCAATTAACTCATGATTTCAGTTATATAAACCTGTATACTCTCTTTGAAAATCCATTTAACTAGATAGATTTAAAAAGAAAAGAATTCAACACATTATAAAATCAGAAAGAAGATTTTGTTGAGATTTAGTTAAATTCATCAGTCAATTAAAGCTAGACCACCATGGAAAACTTAGAAGTACTGGACAGTCGTTTCATTCGAGTATAGGACTCCACAGAAGTAAGCATCCACGATCTCTCAAACACCATCTTCTTAACCTCTAGATCACTGAAGTTCAACCAATCCACGAAATTGAGAAACCAACCACCATTGTGTTCAGTAAGTTACTATCTCACAACAGGCGCGGTTGAACTCCAATGCTCTTGGCTTCTCATTAGAACTCTAGGAAATACCTCTTAAAGTCAGTCACTAGTGATCATATGCTAATGAGTATCAGAAGGGGGGTTTTTAGAGATTATATTAATTTAATAGTTTAATTCTTATCTAAAACATTTTACAAAAATAAATTGTTGTTACACAAATTAATAGGCTTTGAATACATCAGTGCTTTTGTACTATACATTTTGCACATAGAATAATGGAATAGAAACTGTCGAAATATATCTAAATGGTCGAAGTTAGACATTAACACCATTGTATGCTGGTTCAGTAGTCTAGACGTCCAGCATTCGCGTACGAGATCAATAGATCCTGGGTTCGAATCTCGCGGGTAGGATCGTGAATACGCACTGCTGAATCCCATACTAAGACGAAACGGCCGTCCAATGCGTCCAGGTTTTTAATGGTGATCTAGCTTTAGTCAACTCATGAATATACTATAAAATGTTAAAAGAGATAAGTCTTCTTTTTTAATTTTAAAGATTAGAATCGATCAATCTTCATGAAAACCAACGACATCGCATACCACAAATTAAATGTATTCAAAGAATAGACATTGACTAGATTGAAATATGTGATATAATTGAATAATGAAGTAACAAATTAGAATTTAACATTGATTCTGTAAATTTGTTTAATGCACAAACTGTTAGGGTGATCCGGAAAATTTCTCGCAATAGACATGATAAGCTGAGGAAACATTAAGAAGCATTTTATCCAATCAGCGTTTGACTAGAAGTTTTGCCAAAAACATCACGAATGTGCAAAGTCACATGTAGAGTTTCTGATTGGCTGATTACTGCACTACTACTATATTTAGTAGTATTCTAGAATTTTCAGGAAAACCCAAGGATTTCCAAAATACTATAAAAACCTTATATTTTCTGTACATAAATGAACCTTTGGAGTAAAGTGCTTCCCGCATATTTTGTGCCTTTTCTCTCGTCTTCAAGTCGCTGTGTAGTTCTAGCTTGGAGGGGGGTTACGAGACTACCTTAAAATCTGAGTATAGCGTTCAATTAGCAAGACTTATCACAAACAAGTTAATACTCATTCAATATGTATATGACTTCTTTCTTAAAGAAAATTAATATCTGTGTTATTACTATAACCATTCATTGAACATGTTCAAATGTACTGACTACACATTTTGGCGAGACTATAATTTATGGATAAATCAATCAGATTTACAATGACATGTCATGAATTTTGGCGCAAAATTTATCCATTCATTCTGTAGCATGTTATATATTGACGTTCACTTGGAAGCAAGAGCGATCTGAAACAACAACACAACAGTCAGGACCGCTGAATGCCTCTGAAGTAAGAACACGGTGTACTGGCACAACAAATATATTTTTAAAATTGAAAGAAGGGGTTCGAGCACAAAATAGTTTTATTCGTTGTTTTACAGGTTTCAGATCGCGTAGGGTTTGTTCCTCTTCTTTCAGTGTGTTTAATCTTTGTTGCCCTGCAATAAGAAAAATAAACTCGTATTAGTAACGTTGAATCTAATGATTTTTAATAACCTTAACATTTGACTAAATGACGTTTTGGCATTTTAGCTGATGTCAGTTCATGATGAAAACCTTAAATCTTATTCCTTACTTTAATCATTAACTTTAAATCATAATTCTAACTCCTCACACAGGTTTATAACCCTCATTTAGTTCTAGTTAGTAGGTGGATACTCTGAAAGTCAACTTAGCGTTGCTCAAAGGTCGTCCATTAATCATAGTTTCATCAAATTATGCTTTGATAGATCTCAGACACTGATAAGCTACAACTCATATTCATTCATAAATGTGTAGTGACTTGCTTTTTTCGACAAGAACGCGATTGGTTTGATAGAAACAATTATTAATATAACCAATTGTACCAGTGATTGTTTTATCGTACTCGTTGTTGTTTAACTGTATCGAAGTCACTTTTCGTTCCGTCGTCCTCCTTGTTTGGTTCGAACTTTCTTACACTCTGTCCTTATTGCCTGTAATCTTTAGCACGTCTCGGTATTCTTTCGATACCACGAGATCGCCAATAAATATACTATATCTGGACTAATTACAGTCTTCTGGTTTGCAAGTTATCGAGGGAACCAAGTCGTTTTGGAGCGCGTAATCACATTGTAGTGGTGATCATAGTCCATCAAGACTCGACGCCGCCTACAAATGCTTACGACTATTTTCACATTCACAATATCTTATATGATCAACAAATATCATTATGATACGTTCATACTCTATTCTAGTCATTTCTCTACTACCTACATCAATACGATGAACATAAACTACTTATAACCTGTTCTTTTTCTTACCTATCTAATATCAGTTTAGTAGATTAAGTTATTCAATGTTGATCTGGTGTAATCAATCAAACTACATTCACTTTAGCGAGTATATATCAGTCTTTTTTATTTTAACACAAATCATCGTCAAAATGTATTAAAACTCTATGAACAGTGTTCATATCGATTAATTTACTGTAGCAGAATTTTAGCTTCCTTACGTCTGTTATCCCTCATAGAGGAGAATAGATCATTCATCAGAATTCTTTATCTAACTCTGTCTTGGACAATCCTTTCTACTTGTTTCTAGATGTTATTCATCGTTTTCATATCTGCTCCCAGTTTCCGACGCAGAGTGTTCTTTAGTCTTCATCTTTTCTGTCGCCCTTTCAGGATTGAAAGTTAGCACTTGCCTCGCGATGCAGTTTGATGATTCCCTCAATGTGCGTGCTATCCACTTTTAACGTCTCTACTTGATTTCCTCCTCAACTGGAGCCTGGTTTGTTCGCTCCCATAGTAGACTATTGGTGATGGTATCCGATCAACAGACATCATGTATCTTGGGCAGACAATCATTTACAAATCTTCCTACTACTTTGATGATGATTGTAGTAGTTCTCCGAATTTCAGCTCCTTACAGTAGAACTGTGTTGACGTTGGTATTGAAGATTGTGACTGTGATGTTGGTCGACAGACAGTTGTTTTGAATTCCATATGTTGTTCAACTGTAGAAATGCTATCTTTGATTTGCCAATCCTCGCCTCTACGTCTAAATCAGATCCTTCACGTTCATCGATGATGCTACCCAGATAAGTGAAACTTTCCACCTCTTCCAGAGTTTCTCCATCAATTGATATTTATTTACTCACCATAAGTTTTAATTGGAGATTGGATTACCCTGGCATATTTAAAACATTAAATCTATGCTAACTGGATCACATTTCTTCAAATAACAGATTT